TCTTTGCCAAAACTTGTAGGCCTTTCTCGCTCATGTGGCCTAGCCTCTTATGCCACAAGTCTAGAGATGAGTCTTCCACAGCATTCAACTCACCTTTCAAAACCTTGGCATTTGACCGGTACAACGTACAACAAAGTCGTGCTCTTGCTACCACCATTAAGCCTTTAGTAAGCTTCAATTTTCCTTCGCCAATATGGTGATAATATCCTTGTCGATCAAGGGTACCGATGGATATCAGATTGAGACGTTATATCAGGAATATGTCTCACATCTTTCAACATCAATTGGCAGCCGAGATTAGTTCTTAAGCAGATATCACCAATTCCAAGAATTTTGGAATAGCTTTCATTCCCCATCTTCACTATGCCAAAGTCACCTTCTTTGTATGTACTGAAGAACTCCCGTTTGGACGTAGCATGGAAGGAAGCTCCATTGTCAAAGATCCATTCAATGTCTCTGTCAGAGTTGCCCATATGCAGACATTCACCAACAGACAATATTTCTGGTACATCACCACATATGACAGCAGTGGTATTGCCAGTATTCATCTTTCTTCTGATTGTTTCCTTCCCTTTGCTCTCTCTTCCAAACTCGACAATTTTCTTCATTCATATGGCCTTCTTTGCCACAATGGTGGCATGCACCCCTGAACCTTGACTTGGATCGGCTAGGACTCCTGCCATGACCTCTAGGCCCTCTACTCTTGCTTCTTCCGCGGTTCTCTGTGACAAATACTTGGCTGCTATCTGTGCCAGAAGTCTTTCTCCTTGTTTCTTCATTGAGCATGCTATTTTTAACATTATCAAGAGTAAGAACACCATTAGAAGCAGAGTTACTTATACTCACCACAAAGGTCTCCCAACTGTCTGGCAAGGATCCAAGTAACAAGAGCGCTTGTAGCTCGTCCTCGATCGTCATTTTCATAGTAGCCAACTGGTTGATGATATTCTGGAAATTGTTCAAGTGTTCTGCTACACTTAAACCATCCTTGTACTTCACATTGATGAGCTCTTTGATCAAGAAGGCTTTCTTGGCTGGGGTCTTCTTCTCGAACAAGGACTCAAGCTTCGTCCAAAACTCGCGAGCATTGGTTTCATTAGACACATGGTGAAAAACACTATCGTCCACCCATTGTCTAATTGTGCCAATAGCCTTGCGATTCATCTTCTTCCACTCGGCATCGGACATGCTCTCTGGCTTAGCGGCATCTCCTTCAATTGGCTCATGCAGATCCTTGCAATAGAGAATGTCCTCCATCCTTGGCTTCCATGTTACCCAATTGGAGTTGGTGAGTTTGATCATAGTGCCACTTCCTTCCATCTCGCGCAGTACGAGCCAACCGGGCTCTGATACCACTTGTTAGGAATGTCGGTACTACAAGATAGAGAATGCACAAGGTAAAGTAGAAAATGGACGCCAAGAATTTATGTGGTTCGGCAATTTATGCCTACGTCCACCAAACAAGGATCAATCTTCACTATATGAAAAAGATGAATACAACAAGAGTAGTCTTACCAAGCCAAAGACAAGGCTTGATGGATACAAGAAAGTATAACACACACTTTCTATCACTCTAAACTTCACTCACACAATGTGTAGTGGAACACTCTCACTCTCACTCTTGGAGTGGAACTCTAGCTTTGGACTTGATCCTTTGCTACTCACTCTTCTCTTGATTTGTTGTTTCACTACAACATCACACCCATATTTATAGGTGAGGGTTTGGCATTCTACTAGTTTCTAGTGTATTCTTCAAACCTCTAGCATAGAAAGATCTAGACTAGCCACAAAAGTGTGGCTTCTAGATCTTTCCATTTGCAACCAAGGAAGCTAGTACTCTCTAGCTTCTTCCATCAACTTAATAACATGCTAGAATTGTCTAGCATGCTCCAGCCATCTCTCTTGCTTACTAGAATAATCTAGAACATTGATCATGGGCTGGACCATATACCAACAAATCAAACCAGGATGGTCTGAAGGATGAAGAAAATAAAGGTCAGCAAAATTCTCGTCGTCGCCCTTCTTGGTAGTGGTGTTGTCGCTGTCACCCATGGAGAAGGAAGACAACTAAAAGGCAAAAAAAAGTCTTAGTGCTTCTGGTTACGGCAGAGGACAGAGCTAGGGTTTGAAACATGCTCTGTATACCATGTAGAAAACGTATTTGGCCAGAATAATCCTTTCATTGATAAAATACAAAATATATACAATAGTTTTCCTTGTACAACAAGAAGACCTACAATCTAGGAATACATCAATGGAAAGTATCAAATACAAATCAATCATATAATTCCTTCCTATCTAATTACATTGACTTTCTAACATTGGAAGCATCTTTCTTTTCAAACCGCTGCTGATATTTCTTGACCACCTTCTATCCAATTGGTTGCATTTCTCCGGAAAAGGCAAATTGTTGCGGGATTTGGAGATGAATCCTGAGGACTAGGGGAGTTCCATAGATTTTGGTGGAGAATCCGAGAAACAGGAAGAGAGACAATGTGCAGCTTAATCCCATATTGGGTTTGAGAGAAAGTATGATTTGATTGGTGCCGTGTTCTATTGCAAGAAATGAGCAACATAGAAAACCAAAAGGGTTAATTGACAATGCTAATTACCTTATGAAATTCGTTACTTCCTCTTCGAAGCTGTTGGAATGACAGCAACCTCTTTGTCGTGTATCTCTTGTTCTCTGCTTGCTTTTTTGTTTCTTCTCTGTGTGTTTCTCAATTTCTGCAGCGTTTGTCTCTCTCCTCCTCTTCTTTTCCATGTGCCCTCCCCTTTTTATAGACGCAAGGAGCAGTTCCATAAACCTCTTCCATTTTCTGTTACGTGTTCTACTTTCTCGGGGTGTGGGGAGGTTGAGGAGGGCCATCACTTTACTGAGTTGAGAACGTGGGAGGTTAGCAGAGTTCTGGATAGACAATAACTCTATTTTTTAGTTTGTGGGCAGTTGAGGTTTTTTTCCTCTCCTTATTTATTTTATATATAATATATATATATATATGTAAGATATATAATGTGAGTCATATTTCTAGTCGGTCCACGTTTTGGATTGCTATTTTTTAAAGTCTCCTCATTTTTTATAAAACTTCCTAATATATATTTTCTGTGAAAATAATGGCTCAACAAAGGTATGAGTGGGACCTAGTGTAACGTGGAATTCTAGCTGCAAAGGGAGTGGAACTCTACTTTTAGAGGGAGTGAGACCCAAGGTTCTAAAAAAACGCTAGGCACTAGTCGGGCGGCGGACCAGCGCCTAGTGCCTAGGCGACTAGACGGAGTCTAGGCGGGCGCCTAGGCGGCCTAGGCAGATTTAGGTAAATTATATTTTATGAATTAATTAAATTTATTATATCAAATGTAAATAATTCTTGACTAATATGTTATTTCTTATAGAAGAACATGCATATGTGAATGTTTTATGTACATATATAATATACTTGCCTATGAAAAAAAAAACCAAATATTATCTAAATAATTTATAATTTATATAACATTTATATATAATATATATATATATATAATATATATCCCAAACTTTTAAAAATATAAAAACCTCACATAATTGGTGGTTTTAATTATTAAAACTTAAAACCATCAGCCATCCCCTCACCATTAAAACCATCAGTCGTCCACCCAATGTGGTTTTCATCATTAAAACCATCCCATGTTTTCAATTTCATAATTAAAAGTTAAAACCATCTTGGATTTGAGATCCCGGTTTGCTACCAGTACCACATAGAAATGTTCTAAGTCTCTCTCTCTCTCGCTCTCTCTCTTCGCACTCTCTCAGACTCTTCTCTCAGACTCTTTTCCCTCATTTTGTGACATGATTTTATTCACTGCTAGGGGCATGAGAATGAAAAAGAGAAGCTTATTATAGAAAAAGAAGCTGCTATAAAGGAACTTGTATCTTCAGAGACTCAATTAGCTTCTTTGAGAACACAAATTGACAACCTAACTTCAGAAGTCGAAGAACAAAGAGAAAAGGTAAGCACTAATATTTGATTTGGCTAGATCTTTTGGATACAAGTTTCTTGGTGCATGCATCTCCTTTGCAGGTAGCTTCTATGAGAAATATTCATGATCGTGCCCAATCTGAGCTTAACTCGCTCTTCCCTCATCTTCACAGAGACGAGCTGCAGAAATTCGCAAGGGCTCTGCTGCTACGTACGAGATCGGAAGTTGTAGATCCATTGCTAAAATTGCAGCAAAGTTTAGGATTTGCAGTGAGATTCAAACCGCCTAGACTGCCGCCTAGCCTGCCTCAGGCGCCTAGGCAACAGCCTAAGTCCTCCCCGCCTAACTGAACGTTTTGGTCTAAATCGGGTCGGAGTTCCACCGCCCAGCGCCTAGGCGGCCGCCTAGGCCCTTTTTTAGAACATTGGTGAGACCCAGTATAAGCCACGTCAGCATTTAATAGAAATATTAACAGACAAAGTGACAACAGTTTGACATTGCAATAAATTCGTAAGTAAAGTATGAAATTGCAATGTTTTAAGAATGAAGTATGACATTGTGGTTCGACTAATAGTTGAGGTAGTTTTGTGTAATTTATCCTATAATATATGAAATAAAAAAAAAGGTAAATTACATTTTACCCCCTCAGGTTTCAGTGCAATTGCAACCTCATACAACATCTTTAAAATATTTCAATTTCATACATTTACTATTATTTTATTTCAATTTCATACAACCGTTACGAAGTCTACTAAATTAACTGTTAAGTGATGACATGGCAAATATGGGGTCCTCATTTGTGCTAACGTGGTTGTCACATTTGTGCCACATGGCTAAACACAATAAAAAATTTAGAATATTAAAATAATAATTAAAGAAAATAAAAACATATATTAAAAAAAAAAAAAATAAATAAACCAAAAATCCCCTTCGTCTTCCCCACCCAAGCCCACCCCCTTCTTCCATCTCCCATCACCCACCCTTTCCCCATTAATTCTACACCTCCATCTAACCCAAAATTCCAAATTCTAGGGTTCTCATGGATGCCCTTGTCGACAAGAACCAGGACCCCGACAAACGAATGTGCACCAGTCGAACGAATCGAGGCCATCGTGCATAAAACTCTTGGCTGCCTTCAAGAATTTGATGGAGGTGAAGCGCAGAAGTCTCGCATCGGCATCACGGTAGAACCTCGATGTCGCCGTTGCCTAATTTGGACCCGCCAGCCCGACCCTCAACTCGAAGAACTCAAATCTGAACCCAATGCCACCTAGATCTGAACCCGCTGCTAACCCATATGTCAGAGACCTGCTTGTTGCGCGAATTGAAGAAAGTCTTCATTGTGTGAGTTTTTTTTTTTTTTTTTTTTTTTGCAAATTTTCGGTTTGAGAAGGAGTTTAGAATTAATGGGGGAAGGGGTGGGTGACGGGAGATGAGAGAAAGGGGTGGGCTCGGGTGGGGAAGACGAAGGGGATTTTTGGGTTTTTTTTATTATTTTACTTTTCTTTAATTAATCATTTTAATATTCTAAATTTTTTTATTAAGTGTTTAGCCACGTAACACAAATGTGGCAGCCACTTTAATACAAATGAGGACCTCATATTTGTCATGCCATCACTTAACGATTAATTTAATAGACTTTATAACGGTTGTATGAAAGTGAAATAAAATAATAGTAAATGTATGAAATTAAAATGTTTTAAAAATATTGTAGGAGGTTACAATTGCACCGAAATTTAAAGGAATAAAATGTCATTTATCCAAAAATAAAATAGGAGGTAAAGCGAGGTTTTGAATTAGTTAGATAAGGCATAGCAAAATATGCAATTTTTTGGGGAAAAGTATTTGTTGGAAGTGAAGCACTGTGGCAAAAAGTGTAGGACAGGACAGATGGGGAGAGAATTCTCTTCCGTTTTACTATGTTTTGGTTTTGCGGTTTTGCGCTTCCCTAAAAAAACACTGGACGGAAAGGAAAGGAAACGAAAGGAAAGGAATGGCGCTTTCAGTCTCTAGCAAATCATGTGCGCTGAGATCGCTGTGTGCAGCTTTGGGTTGGCGGCGTTCGTACGCCTAGGTGGCATCTTCTTCTTCTTATGCGGCGGAAGGGCGGAGGGAGAAACAAAAAGTAGAAGTAGAGGGAGAAGAAGATGTCGACGTCGGTGGGTTCGCAGTGAGCTCTGGGATCAGCAGACCCCTCTGAAATCCTCAAGCAACTCAACAAGAAAGTCCCCGATTCCCTCGTCAGAACCCGCTCGAAAATGGCTTCACCTCCAAATACATCTCCTGGTATTCAATTAATTTCTTGTTTAATTTCAAATCAAATTCAAAAGGTGTCTCTCTCGGATTATGTTTCTGAATCTGGCATGACATTTTCACTACAGGCACATTGTGAATCGGATTATGAAGTTGCATGCTCCAGGTAGCCACCACACCAGTTGGTAGTTTTCTTTCACATACCAAAATGTCTTCCAATTTTGTTTTGTTTTCTGAAATATGATATCCGTAGAATGGTCTGGTGAGGTTCGAAGCGTCACCTACTCTGCTGATGCCAAGTCTGTATCGGTTGTGTATCGCGTCATGCTCTATGGAACTGATGCTGAGGTACAGTTTTCATATTTCCATTTCATTTCTTTTCTAACCTTTTAATTTGGATAGTGTTGTTGGAACTTATTGTTATTCACAATTATTTATATAAACATTCTAGGGGTGAAATTCAATGCATGTATTGTAGTATATTTAGAAATAAACTTGTATTATAAGTATATGCATCTCGATCTACAATTGGATGAATGAGATGCAGATCAGTTATATTTTGCATAAATATAAACCTACTCATAGGTAGCCATGAACTAATATTTCCGTTGAAGTCAGAACTCCGGAGGCTTCCTCAGGTTCTGATGAAATTTGTAAACGATTTAGTTGATGCTCCTTTACCAGGGCTTCAGACATTTCTGAAAAGATAAGAACAGAGAAAAAGGACTTCATCTTTATCACGAGGACTTGTCGTAGTGGCACATAGTGCTTGGTTCTGTGAAGTATAGGCTTGTTTGCACTTTGTGGTCGATGGGTGATGCTTGATTTGGCTTGTTACTTTTGTTTTTGGGTTGGTAGATTTTGAAAAGACGCGACCTTGTACAAGCACGTAATTAAAATGGCAGGACTTAAAACTTATCTTACTTGAACTCAGGTCAGTTACTTCTTTCCGTTCTTAGCAACTATTCAACCTTCTCATGTCTCTAACTAAAATTCCGCTTAAGGTGAGCTGATCGTACCTGTTCAGATGGTTCCACTTGGTTCTCTTAGAGGTCTTAGTTTCTTAATTACCTTCGGTCTTAGTTCTCGTATGGTTAGGATAATTAAAAAGATCAAGACCTTAAAGAGAACTAAGTGGAACCGCCAAAACCTGTATGATCAACTCGCCTTGAGCAAAATTTTTGTTAGAGACATATAGAGAACATGAAAAGCTAAAGGTTCAAGGGTTTTCTTCAACTATGATGTGTGATTGTCCAGAGAACAGGTAATCAGGATGAGTTCGAGTGAGATAAATCTAGTCACGCCTTCTTAGGTATGTGTTTGGAGTTGTGACTGATTTTGGAGCGGATATTTTGTGTTATATGTAATTTCGATTCAAGCATATTAGTAATTGTAAGTAAGCGCAGGTCAAGTAGTGTGGTGACAATGTTGTATTTTGGTTTTTAACCGAGCCGAAAGTACAAAACCAAACCGAACCGAAATGATTTGGTTCGGTTTCGGTTTTTGGGTTAAAAAACCAAACCGAATAAATATATTTAATTTTATATAAGTTTTTAATTATTATATATAATGGATATTTATTTCCAAGCTAATTCCAAGCCCCAAACTTCAAACCCTTCAAACCCAAATAGAATGTTAGGCCTCCTATTAGAAAGTTAGAAACCCTAGTATACTAATTATTCCTTCTTTTCTTCTCCCTAGCCGTGTTCCTTCTCTCCATTTTTTTTCTTCTTTTTTTTCCTCTCATGCCGTCAGCTTCCTCTCTCCCATTTCTCTCTTGCTTTTTTCTTCTTTTGTTCTCTCATCTCCCTCTCACCCATTTCTTTCCTTTTCTTTTTTTCTCCCCTGCCACATCTCTCTTTATCCCACTGTCCAACTCATACCTCCGCCAAAGTCAGCCATGGCTTCTACCATCGTCGACAACAAAGTGGTTCTTGCTCGCCATTGTTGACATGTACCAGATCTAGCCACCTTTAACCGCAATTGTTCTGATGGACTTGTTCTCCTCGTCACTGAGCTTTGATCTCGAAAATTTGACTAAGTGTGGTGCAAATTGTATATAATTCTTGTCGATTTTATTCTTTGATATGGTTTAATTTTGATAGATATGACTGACTTGGGTCTGCAATTTTGTTGATCTGGAATTTGGTCGTTTTGATTTTAAAAAATTCTGTTAGATTTGAATGGATTTGAAGTGTAATATTTTTAGCTAAAGATTTGTTTTTCTTCCAGTTTCTTCAACTTTCATTGTATTCGTCATTATTTGTGTTATTTAAAAAAAAAAATCGAACCGAACCGAAAAAAAATGAACTGAATAAAAATCGAACTGAAAAAAACCAACAAAAAACCGAATTGAACTGAGCTAATGATGGAGGATGTAATGAAAAGAACGATTCCTGGACTTGTTTTAGTATGTCCTTGCTAGTGGTGCATTGTCTTTCGGGAATGAAATGAAATTCTGAATCTTGATGGGAATGCATACTCTCGTAGGATCATAGCAAAGACCATGGTCTAAGGCCATCTCTAAGGCCATCTCCAACCGAAGGGTCCAGAGGGCCAGAGGGTCGAAAATAGCCCTAAAATCGTCTCCAACCGAAGGCTAGGCCAGAGGGCTCGGGAATCTGGGAGGGCCCCACGGGATCGGAGAGGGCTGGAGGGCTGGCTATTTTTTTTTTAATGTTTCTCATTTCTGTCGGTTATAACCGACAGAAATAACAATTTGAATTTAAACTTCCAACGGCTAGCGCCACTAGCCGTTGTAAACCTTTTTTTTTTTTTATGAATTTAAACCTTTTTTTTTCTTTTTTTTTCTATAACTTCCTATAACTTCTATTTTACAAAATTTGTTTCAATTTTTTTAATTCTATTTTTTTCCTATAACTTATATTTTACAAAATTTGGTTCATATTTTTTTCATATAACTTCTATTTTACAAAATTTGTTTCATATTTTTTTTTAAATTCCATTTTTTTCCTATAACTTCTATTTCACAAAATTTTGTTTCATATTTTTTTTTAAATTCTATTTTTTTCCTTATAACTTCCTAAACCATTATACAACATTAAATTAAATTAAGTAACATGAAACAACATTAAACAATATGAAACAACATTAAATAACATTAACCAACATAAAAAATTATACAACACTAACCAACATGATTTTTAAATAAAATTAAGTTGTAGTTTTTAAACAATAAATTATGTTTGGCCCTATGGCCCTTTGGCCCTCGGTTGGAGACGGTTTTCTGTGACAGGGCTAAAACGAGCCCTCTGGCCCTCTGACCCTCGGTTGGAGACGGAGGCAAATATGGCCCTGTACTGTTTCATTAAAATATTAATATCTTGGAGAATCTTGGAGGGCCAGAGGGCTAAAACGAGCCCTCTGGCCAGCCATCGGTTGGAGATGGCCTAACCGAGGGCTGGCCAGAGGGCTCGTTTTAGCCCTCTGGCCCTCCAAGATTCTCCAAGATATTAATATTTTAATGAACAGTACAGGGCCATATTTGCCTCCATCTCCAACCGATGGCCAGAGGGTCAGAGGGCTCGTTTTAGCCCTATCACAAAAAAACCGTTTCCAACCGAGGGCCAAAGGGTCATAGGGCCAAACATAATTTATTATTTAAAAACTACAATTAAAATGTTGTTTAAGTTTCATGTTGTATAATTTTTATGTTGGTTAATTTTATTTAATGTTGTTTCATATTGTTTCATGTTACTTAATTTAATTTAATGTTGTATAATGGCTTAGGAAGTTATAGGAAAAAAATAGAATTTAAAAAAAATATGAAACAAATTTTGTGAAATAGAAGTTATAGGAAAAAAATGGAATTTAAAAAACAATATGAAGTAAATTTTGTGAAATAGAAGTTATAAGAAAAAAATGGAATTTAAAAAAAATATATGAAATAAATTTTGTGAAATAGAAGTTATAGGAAAAAAATGGAATTTAAAAAAAATATGAAACAAATTTTGTGAAATAGAAGTTATAGGAAAAAAAATGGAATTTAAAAAAAAACCAAATTTTGTGAAATAGAAGTTATAGGAAAAAATAGAAGTTATATGAAAAATTTTGTAAATAAAAAATAATAATAATAATGTAAAAAAAAAAAATTAAATCAAATGCAACGGCTAGTAGCCGTTTCATTTGATTTTTTTTTAAAACAATCCTGTCGGTTATAACCGACAGGAATACACCATTATTTAGTATATTAAATAATAGTATGTATTCCTGTCGGTTATAACCGACAGGAATAACAAAACTATAAAAAAAAAAAAATAGCCAGCCCGGGGCTGGCTGGCCAAAAGCAGCCAGCCCTCCAGCCCTCTCTGATCCCGTGGGGCCCTCCCAAATTCCAGAGCCCTCTGGCCTAGCCCTCAGTTGGAGAAGGTTTTAGGGCTATTTTCGACCCTCTGGCCCTCTGGACCCTTCGGTTAGAGATGGCCTCAGGTGCCAAACTGCCAATGCAACCTGGAAGGGACGGCTTGGCAACCACCGCATGCTCCGTACTGCAACTAAAAGAAGTTGGAGCTGTCTGTTGCTCAACGAAAGCGCGTGGTGGGGGAAATACTTTAAAATGCTAGAGGAGTTAACTCATGCGGCAGGCTCATCCAGTAGGGTAGCCTGGGTGATTTCTGCAAAGGCAACTGGATTCCTGGCTTATGTTAGCAATTGGTTTTTCTTGTCGAATAGTGGAGACTGATTTCAAAGGGGCGCTTTAATTAATTTGAGAATCATTTATTAATTTGCTACACAATGATGGTGATTGCCTTGCCATGGAAGCCTGCAGGAACCTTGGTTCTTGGGTGCGAATGCATGCCCGCCTCCCAAGATTGTTTGCCCCTGCACTGCACTGTACCCATAGTCCTGTTTTCGATTCCCCCTGCCTAGTATAGATTTTGCTTATATAAAGAAAAATAATATATGTGTAGAGGACTGATGAATGATGACGCTTTGCTGCCTATGGTGCTACTGCTTAAAAGTAGTAAACAAAATTAATCTCCTTTTACATAACTGGAAATGTATATGTTACCATGAGAGGCTTGAGTAAGCAGTATTGTTGGTGGGCCTGCAAATATGAATTTTAATTTTAGTATGGGCTGCCCATGTTGTTTATCGAGCATCCCTTCCTTACAGTAAGCTCAACCAACCCCAAACCCAAAGCAGTTGTGGTCTAACTTAAATGTTTTGGACCTTTTGACTTCATTTTTCAACTTTAGAAAAATTATAAGAAATATAATTCCGTTTTCTCTTTTCAAAAAAATGTCAATCAATAAGAATAATACATGTAAGAGATAAAACTTCTAATTTAAAAACTGATAAGGTTGTGACATAGAAAAGAGAGGGGGTAACGTTAGGGAGGAGGTCGGTGAGTTGGAAGTAGAATAATCTTTCTTTTATTTTTTAATTTTATTTTAATTTTAAATATTTTACAGATATTGGATGAAAATGTCCTTAATTGGTTAAAGAAGATAAACACAAAGACCAAATTGGCAAAATTAAAAGCACAGGAACTAAATTAACCTAATAACTAAAACACAACCACCATTTTAAGCCCCCTTTTT